TCCTCGCAAGGGCATTGAGCAGGGTCTTAAAACGGCCCAGGATAAACTCTTAGACATCGCTGGCCCTATTATTCAGATTTTCATTTTGGCAGACGAAGCCTTAACTAGTGGGGAATTCGACCCAAACACAGTTAGAGAGTGGGCCCAGAGAGCCTTATGTTTCCTAGGCAACACAAATGTGGCTATGTCCACTGAGAGACGCAGGGCAGCACTATACAAGCTAGATGCAAAACTAGCAGATCTGAGCTCCCGGGAACTGGGACCAGAGGCAAATGGATTACTGTTTGGAGATTCATTCATGAAGGATCTCTCCAAACATGTAGCGGTGTTTACCACCCTAAATAAGGCCCAATCTTCCCTGCGCAGGGTTTTTCGTTCTCAAGCAGGTCTTTTTTCTGGGAGAGCTGGACGTTATCGAGGCCGAACGAACAGCAGAGTTGCCTTCACAGGCTACAGGCCTCGCCCTTCCGAGAACTACAGGCAATCGGGACAAACCCGACCCTACCACAGGCAACTATTTACTAATAGAGGGTCTATCCGGGGACGTGGATCTGCCTCCCTACGCGGTAGAACTGCTCCAGGTAATCAATCTCCCTTCTTTCAATGTACCAATAGCAGGTCGATTAACCCATTTTTTCCAACAGTGGGAATTGCTTTCTCAGGATCTATGGATCCTACACACAGTCCAGGGGTTCAAGATAGATTTCCTTTCCACCCCTTTCCAAGACACACCACCAACACCACTACAGATGTCTGTATCAGACAACCTGACACTACAAAACGAACTACACAAGCTAGTAAAAAAAGGGGCTATAGAAAAATCCCCGTTCCCACATACTTTTCTCAGCAACATTTTTCTGGTCCACAAAAAAACTGGAGACCTACATCCAATTATCAATTTAAAAAACCTGAATCACTTTGTCAAGTACCGTCACTTCAAGATGGAAGGCATCCATCTTCTCAGGGACCTCCTTTGCGTGGGAGATTGGTTCTCCAGATTCGATCTCAAAGATGCATACCTCACGGTTCTGATTGCTCGCAACCATCGAGCTTTCCTTCAATTCTTCTGGCAAGAAGAAATCTGGCAGTTCACATGCCTCCCATTCGGACTATGCTCCGCACCTTGGTGTTTCACGAAACTGATGAAACCAGTGATGGCCCTACTTCGATCTCAGGGGATTCGGTCCATCATATACTTGGACGACATCCTGATAATGGCGCAAGACCCAGATCTCTTACGCCAGCAAACAGAGATGACGTCGGCCCTACTACAAAACCTTGGTTTTATAATAACTTTCCAGAAGTCAGCCCTGGAACCTTCCCAAAAGGTACAGTTTCTTGGGTTTCTGATAGATTCTGTACAGGCGGTTTTACAACTACCCTCTGCAAAGATCAGAATCATCAAAAAAGACATTTGCAAATTGTTATCAGCTCGTCAGATTCGCTTACGCGATCTGGCCCATATCATAGGCCTACTGACCGCCTCTATCCAAGCCATTTACCCAGGACCTTTACACTACCGGGCCATGCAACGGCTCAAGACGTTTTACCTACACTGTTCCACCTCTTACGATCAGTTCATCCACCTAACAGACGAAGTTCGTATAGAACTTCACTGGTGGCTCCACAACTTGGAGGCCTGGAATGGCAAAGCCATCTTCGGATCTCAACCAGACTTCATTCTGGAATCCGATGCCAGTCTCCTAGGATGGGGCGCCACGTGTGCAGAAGGATCCACCGGGGGTCTATGGTCCCCCTCCGAACAAGCACTGCACATCAATTGTCTGGAGTTGATCGCAGGATCTTTCGCGATTCGCAGTTTCGCAAAAGACTGTTTCAACTGTTCACTGGTACTACGCATGGACAACGTCTCTGCAGTACGCTATGTGAATCGATTAGGGGGTTCACGATCCAAGCTCCTATCCGACCTTACCAAGGATCTGTACCAATTCTGCCTAGAGCGGAATTTGTCCATCAGAGCGGAATATCTTCCGGGCACGGACAACCTAGTGGCAGATTGGTTCTCTCGCCACTGGAGGGATGTAAGCGACTGGCAATTAGACCCCCGCTTATTCCACCAAATTTGCTGCCTTCGCGGGCCCCTTACACTGGACCTGTTCGCATCCCGTCTGAATCACCAGACGGAGGCCTTTATCAGCTGGCTCCCAGACCCCCTATCATGGGCGGTCGACGCCTTTCTACATCCTTGGCCGGAGACGGGAGCCTATGTGTTCCCGCCTTTCTCCATGATCCAACGCACCCTTTACCGGGTCAAAGCCCTAGCAGTGACAATAGTCATTGTTACTCCTCTCTGGAGAGCCCAGATTTGGTTCCCAACCCTGTTGGAATTATCTGCGAATCACCCAATTCTACTACCTCAAGTCCCCGACATCCTGAGGGATCCAGCAGGGCACTGTCATCCGCTCGCCCTTCAGGACCGGCTCCAACTTGTAGCTTGGACCGTTTCAGGGGATCCTGGAATGTCTCGGGACTTTAGGAGACATCTCAGGCTCTCCTATGGGATTCCTGGGCCCCTGGCACTAGACGAGTTTACCTCGCTGCATGGAGGACATGGGTCAGCTGGTGTTTGGGAAGGGATACCGATCCTTTTTCAACACCTCTAACGGCCATCCTAAATTTTCTCTCTACCCTATTTGATCAAGGCAAGTCCTATCGTTCTATTAACGTTTATAGATCAGCTATTTCCGCGGCCCACAGCCCCATTGACAATGCATCAATAGGGAGACATCCTTCAGTCTGCAGGTTGCTACGTGGGATCAGATTAGCCAGGCCCCCTCTTCCTAAATATTCCTGCTTCTGGGATGTTACTCGGGTTTTCTCCCTTCTAGAATCCTGGCCCTCTAACGGGGATTTGACGCTACACCAACTTTCAGCCAAATTGGCTTTACTCCTTTGTCTGGTATCCTTCCGTAGGGTCTCGGATATTTGGGCATTTGATTTCCACGCAGTCAACTTCTCGCCTGAAGGCGTTAGGTTCCACATCACCAGACGAACAAAGTTTAATTCCTCCTCGGTATTCTACCCTTACTTTCCGAATAGGCAATCACTCTGTGTGGCGCTCTGCGTCAGGCATTATATAGATGCCACTACCACTCTGCGCCCCCCTACGGGACCCCTTCTCGTATCCTATGTCAAACCACACAAACCGGTATCCGCCCCCACCGTCGCACGGTGGATAAGATGGATACTAGCGCAAGCAGGTATTGACTCCACTTTTGGTGCACATTCCGTCAGAGGAGCAGCCGCTTCCTCCGCCTTCCGTGCGGGTAGCTCCCTCTCAGACATTCTGTCCTCGGCAGATTGGTCCAGAGAGTCTACATTCCGCACATTCTACTTCAAACCTATGCCACATGCCGCATCTTCCATCATATAAAGCGTTAAAACAGCAAATATGAAGCCTCCTGTCTTGCCATAAAATTAGGGATTATTCTAGCTTTAGTGACTGAATAATCTAAATTTTATTAACGACAGGAGGCGAATATTTTCCCGCCCTTTTGCTCTCATGACCATTCACACCCACCCGGGACATCAACTAATCCTCACTTCTAAGTTATGTTTTTATTGTCGATATACAGATGTCGTCGGCTCCAGCAACAAAGAGGAATTGGGAGGAGCTTGATGACATCATATTATACTGTTATTCACTCTGATTGGTTGATCTGTTTATACTATTGTTAACTATTTCTTTGCTGCTGGGAGAATCAGTAAAGAAAGATAAGCAAATATTCGCCTCCTGTCGTTAATAAAATTTAGATTATTCAGTCACTAAAGCTAGAATAATCCCTAATTAAAGCTGAAAGTCTGCAGTTAAAGCACAACTTGTTTGTTTCATTTCAAACCCATTGTGGTGGTGTATAGAGCCAAAAAGATTAGAATTGTGTCAATAATTATGGACCTCACGGTATATATTTCTATTAGTGACCCTCCTCCTTTTTACCAGTGTATACTCTTGTAAACATTATTTATTCCATTATTATATGTGTATATGTGTAACTAGGTATTAACCATAATCTCGATAATTTTATCCCATTCAATTAAATAACACATTATTCTCCTTATTCAATCTTCCTCTCCATTGCCTCACCCCTCCCTCTCCAACCAATATCTTCAAATTAATAATCATAGAAAAGAGAAAGAAGAAGAAAGAAGAGAGAGAGAAAGGGAGGATAAAAAAATCCATATGTCTTCTTATTTCGCCTTCTTTTCTCTGTATTTTCTTTTCTTTTAGTGCTGAGTATCATCATATTGATTTTAGTCTTGTGTTTGCCTTTCTAGGCCTTTCTACTGTTTCCTGTTTACTTATTTGTTTCCATTCCCCTGTCTCTCTGTTAATCTCCCTCCAGTTCTTTTCTTCTTTGTTAGGTTCTTCATTCCTGTCTTCTCACTGAGGTAATCCATATGTCTTTATATAAGACCTTTAAAGCAGTTGGGTAGCCTCAACAACATTTTAAATTATGTTGCTTCAATAGTGGAAAGATTGGAGCAAATGCTTTTCTCTTCATTCTTGTTTGGTATGATAGATCTTGTAGGACTAACACATCTTTGAATTTTTCTTCCAATATTTTTGAAGCTCTAGCAGCATAAAAAAACTAAGTTTTTAAAGTTGTAAGAATGGAAAGCCACAATGACATCTCTTGGTAAATCCTTTGAATTTGATGGCCTAAAGATCCTATGACATCTTTCAAATTTAATTTTACCACATGACAGGAGGCTTCATATTTGCATATCGTTCTTTACTGAAAACTCAAGCAGCATAGAAACAGTAACAACCAATCAGAGAAAAGATATGGTGCCCATAAAAGGCCCTGTCTCTGACATGGCTTCCTCTTTCTTTGCTGCTCCAGCCATCAACAGGTCAGAGTAATCTTTCCTCTCTGGGTTTTTTCTTTGTACCTGTAAATTACCTTATCATTGTATTTTATTGTGTTTCTAATTCTACTCCCTGTCTACCTATACCTGTCCCCTCCTGTTTCCCTTACTCAATTGCCCCTGTTTACTTTTGTACTCCTGAATCTTGTGGCCCTTGCGGCCTGGCGGTCCGCGGGCGTCACGGCTGTCCGTGCCGCGCTCGCCGCGCGGACCTGCCCTTGCTGCACCAGGGGGCTGGGTGGGGATGGGTGGAGGGTAGCCGGGGTTAGAATTGCTGTTTGCCGCGTTTTTCCCGTCCCACTCGCAGCCGCGAGCGGGTAGCTCATGCTCACGCGGCCGGCGGCCATCTTGGATCTCGCGGCTCGCGACACCCGCGTCGGCCGCCTTTCTCTGCACTCGGCAGTTCTGGAATCACCCGATCGCCGCAACGGATTTGGAGGGGATTACCCTCAGGTTTTACCCCCCCTAAAGGCTGTATAATATTAAGGATACTCCACAGGACAGCTCACTAAAGCATGCACAATTATGATTTGTTTATGAAGGCTGTATAGTACCAAGTATACATTTTTTGTTATTATAATTGAACATACTGCCTCTCTGGTCCTGGCAGGGACAGATGCAACATTATCTACCCCACAGGGGATCGGATACTGCTATACCCTTCAAGGGGAATATCATATTGATTGCCCTGCACAGGGCCATATTGCATTACTGTACCCAAGGGTGCAAAAAATTATGTGGGTGTCCTCTGGGTATTTTTTCATGGCACACCACCTGGGGTGACCCCCCAGATACGCATGCAAGGGCGCTGACGGCCCATTTTCAATTGATGTGGGTGTCCTCTGGTTGCCACGGCACACCACCCTGGTAGAACCCCGTTGATATGCACAAGGGCCTACACCTTCATGTAAGGAGATATGCATATTGCCCTGACTTCAATAATTACGTGCATATAAAGCCTTCTATACATATTCAAGAGTCAATCTATATCTGTACGTGACTCTCCTCCACTGAACCTTGTTTTCACCCAACAGGTCGATATACACCCCAGATCATGGAGGATACCCAAAGCACCCAAGACTTCCAAACCATGATCAATGCCGCTGTGGTGGCTTCGGTAGAGAAGGCCCTCTTGCGGGCTCTACCCCACGGCCAGGAAGACACAAACCCCCCTGAACGCATGGAAGCTTCGGGCTCAGAGGTGTCTAAGGCCAAGAGGCAAAGGAAGGTCTCGAGCCCCCCCTCCACCAAGACTAGGGGCAAGTTGCCCGTCAAGCGTATTAAGAACGCTGACCGACAGCCCACGTCCTTCCCGCATCAATCTTCGGACGAGGACGATGCCTACGTTCCACATGCCTTAGATGTGGTGGACGAGTGGCACGGGGACGGCTCACCCTCAGACGACGAAGAGTGGAGAAACCTCCCACCCACCTCTTCGAAGTATGTCAAAGAGACCTTCCTCAGCAACCGGGATGACGATCACCACACACGGCTGTTCGACCCACGCACCATCCGGCACCCACGGTCCTCAGAGTGGACGCTGCCAGATCACCTGGCGAAGTTCATACATTACTGGCTGCGCAAACCGCTGGAAAAGGAGGTACGGGCACGCCTCAGGACTGAATGCCCCAGGCCGCTGATCCCCGACAAGGTGGCACTGACGCCCGAATTCGACGACACTATGGTGGTCTTCATGTCACGCACGGGCAGGGACCCGCGCAAAGGGTTGGAAAAGGGCATGAAAGCGGCACAGGACAAAGTGCTGGATTTGCTCGGCCCCATTGCCAAGATGCTATACTTCGCAGACCTAGCCCTCAGCCAAGACTCTCAACTGGACCCTCATGTCATACGTGAATGGGCTCAACGCGCTGTGTGCCTACTGGGCAATGCTAATGCCGCACTTTATATCGAAAGACGCAGATCGGCCCTAATACGTATTGATAGCAAGCTCCTGGACCTTGGGGCTAAAGAATTCGGACCGAGAGCCCAAGGCCTGTTATTTGGCGATGCCTTCATCGCGGAACTTAAAAGACATGTGAACCTATTCACGACCTTGAACAAGGCTCAAACCTCTCTCAAACAGGTGTTCCACACCCCATCTACAAGAGGTGTTTTTGGAAGGGCTGGTCGACAACAGAACCGTGCCACCAGCCGATTTTGGGCCTCAAGTTCCAGTCCGTTCCCACAAGCCCCGAATTTCTTCCCGTCTACAGCGCAAAGGCCCTCATCGTTCAGAGGAACGGGGAGAACCAGAGGCTTCAGAGGCCGTGGCCGCGGACGCTTCTCCAATGGTGAGTCCACCTATATACACAAATGCATCAAAATTTATTGCAGGCAACCTATCCTTTTTCTTCCAGAACTGGGAACTGATTACCAAAGACGCCTGGTCCTCCAGACGGTTCGGGGTTTCATCATAGACTTCGCCACACGACCCATTCAAAACGCTCCCCCTCCCCCAATCCACATGTCGTTGGGACAAAGCCACCTAGTAGACGAAGAGATCCACGCTCTCTTCGAAAAAGGCGCGATACAATACGCACTGGACGGGGGAGGCTTTCTAAGCAACATTTTCTTGGTCAAGAAGAAGACGGGCGAGTACAGGCCGGTTATCAATCTCCGGCAGTTAAACTCATTCGTAATCTACAGACACTTCAAGATGGAAGGAATCCATCTTCTTAATGACCTTCTCGTCAAAAACGACTGGTTTACACGCCTGGACCTCAAAGATGCGTATCTGTCCGTCCCAGTGGATGTACACTGCCGACAATTCCTCCGCTTCCGATGGAGAGGACGGATATGCCAATTTACATGTCTGCCATTCGGCCTCAGCTCGGCTCCGTGGTGCTTCACGAAGCTACTGAGACCAGTGATGGCTCACATCCGAACGAGGGGCATTCGATGCGTCGTCTACTTAGACGATTTGCTGATCTTTTGCGAATCCGCATCCAGGCTACGATCAGAGACGAGATTTGTCGTTCACTCGCTAGAATCCCTGGGTTTCGTAGTGAACAGACAGAAGTCGTCTCTCTCTCCCTCCCATTCGGTCCAATTCCTGGGTTTTGACATAGATTCGAAGGAATGCGTACTACGCCTTCCATCGAAAAAGATAGCCTCAATAAGGAAGGAAATCAGACGAGTCCTGAGGATGGACACAATACCGCTCAGGATTCTCGCTCGAATCGTGGGACTCCTTTCCTCGTCCATACAAGCGATATTCCCGGGCCCTCTACACTACAGGGCCATGCAACGGCTGAAAGCGGGATATCTGCGCACCGGACACTCCTACGACCACTGGATCCCACTCTCGTCGGAAGTGAGGTTGGAACTGCGATGGTGGTTACTACATATACAAGCCTGGAACGGCAAAGCGATCTTCGGCCCTTCGCCAGACTTCATAGTGGAATCGGACGCCAGCCTGTGGGGATGGGGCGCTCATTGCGCGGACGCCTCCACGGGAGGCCCAATGGCAGGAAGAGGAGACCAGCCTACACATCAACTGCCTGGAACTGATCGTGGGATCCTTCGCCATCCGCAGCCTGGCCAAGGACAGGTTGAATTGCTGTATCCTGCTCCGCATGGACAATGTCTCGGCGGTACAATACATCAACCGCCTGGGCGGAGCGAGGTCGAAAGACCTGACGGAAGCCACGAAGGACATCTACAGTTTCTGCCTACGAAGGAACATCACGCTGCAAGCACAATACCTCCCAGGAATCTCCAACCTGACGGCGGACTGGTTCCCCCGCCACTGGAGAGACACCAGAGACTGGAAACTCAACGGGGAGATATTTCAGACACTACGTCAGCGGTTGGGCCCACTAACAATAGACTTGTTCGCCTCCAGGACCAACCACCAACTACCAAGATACTACAGTTGGCTTCCGGACCCGAAGGGCGAAGCAGCGGATGCATTCCTTCAGGACTGGCCCTCCCACGGGGCCTATGCTTTCCCTCCATTCTCATTGATCCCACGGGTATTGCGATACACCCGCACTCACAGGATATCGCTCCTGCACATAACACCACTTTGGCAGAGCCAACAGTGGTTTCCGGACCTCCTGGAGATGTCCCACGACCATCCCATTCGGCGCCCGACCTACCCATTGCTCCTGTCGGGACCTCGAGGGGAACCCCATCCCCTCGTCCTGGAAGGACAACTGGAACTGGTGGCCTGGACGATTTCAGGGGCTCCTGGTCGGTCCACAGCCTATCGCAATCTACTAAAGACCTCCTGCGGGACTCATGGGCTCCTGGCACCAGGAGATGTTACATATCCGCCTGGTCAGCCTGGAGTGATTGGTGAATGGAAAGGGATTCCGATCCCTTTACTGCCTCTGTCCCACTGATCCTCAACTATCTCGCTCATCTGTTCTCGATGGGTCGATCATATAGATCCCTTAACGTGATCAGAACGGCTATTTCAGCGGCGCACGTCCCTGTACAAGGCAAGCCAGTGGGTCAAGATCCTCTGGTATGTCGTCTACTGCAGGGTGCCAAACTTACAAGACCCCCAGCACCCAAATATTCCAGCCTCTGGCAGGTGAATAGGGTGCTGGACTTCCTTCGGGGCTGGCCGGACAACCCCATTCTATCGCTGAAACAGATTTCAGGAAAACTGGCTCTTTTGTTATGCCTCGTCTCATTCCGATGGGTGTCAGACGTTAGGGCGTTTGACGTGGACGTTTTTTCTCTCACTCCCGAGGGAGTCACCTTCTCCATTTCTAGATGGACTAAATCAGAACTCATCCTCAGTGTCTTATCCATATTTCGAATCAGACTCCAAGCTATGCGTTGTCAGGACACTTCTGAGGTATACGGAAATCACAGCCAACCTTCGGCTCACCCCGACGGGTCAGCTGCTGATTTCTTACGTAAGGACTCACGCACCGGTGTCTACAACAACCCTGGCCAGATGGGTACGCTGGCTACTGAGGTTGGCAGGTATCGAACCTAGCTTTGGAGCACATTCGGTCAGAGGTGCGGCAGCATCCCAAGCCTTCTTGGCAGGCGCATCCCTAACCGACATTATGCGTTGCGCAGACTGGACACGGGAGAGTACGTTTAGGACATTTTATTTCCGCCAATCCTCTCACGCCTCCTTCACACTAGTCAAGTCTAAGCTTTAAAAATGCAAATATGAAGCCTCCTGTCATGTGGTAAAATTGAAGATTATATTAGCTTTAGTGTACTAATAATCTTAATTTTAGTAATGACAGGAGGCGAATATTTCCCACCCTATAGGATCCCTCCCTAGTTATCTCGTGTTATAAAGATTATGTTTTAGTGTTCAGGAAGGCATGCATGTTAGGATTGTATTACTACTTAG